TTTCGGATGTTTTATACACATAAGCTGTTCAGCTTATTTATACCCACTGTTTATATTTCTCCATTGCCCTTTGGATGACCTCCAATTTTGATTTCTTGAAGTTTGTGGTATTCCATAATTTGCAGCCATTTAGCTCTACCACACAACTCTTGGTATAGAAAAGGAGAGAGACTAGCTTTTATTTCAGGGATAAGCTTGGGGCCACTGACAAGGCTCTGCAATTTCTCTAATGAAATCCAGCCTGATATCTTCCTCCTTTTTTAAGTCTGGGCCCAGTTCATTGTCTATCCCAGTGTCTGCCCAGAGGATATGTACTGATGGCTTGACTTGATGTGCAGAATCCATCAATTACATATCATAGTCTATCAGGGGTGGGAAACCTGTGGCCTTGAGGCCACATGTGGCCCTCTAGGTTCTCATGTTTAACCCTTTGAATCCAAACTTCACAGAACATTTATTATAGACAGGGAAAAAGTACCTCTAAGGGTTGACATTTATTGATATCTTCTTGATTGCCTTTTTTGATGGTAATAAAATCTGAGGAACAGTGAGAAATAATGCATAAAGGAATGGTCTTAGGGTCAAGAAGACCTGCATTCAAGACCTGCCTTTGATACATATTTGTGGCGTGACAATGGATAAAATACTTGCAGCTCTGCATCTGTGGAAGGAGGGTCCACATTGGGAATTCCCATGTAGATGAAATCGCAGTTGTAGACTATACTGTGTTCCACCCAATAACTCACAAAAAAAGTGTTTTTCTAATCATCGATGTCTTTCCTACTAATTGACATCTTGAGAATCAGTCCCTCAACATTAGCAACATTATGTGGTCTATGGCACAAATCTCCCCTTTGTACACTTAGTTTGGTCCAGCTGCTCTGCCTTTCTTGGTTTTCTTAATTACCATTTCGAACATCAGGGAAGGTGATGTTCAGGTGCAGATGTGATTTCCTCCATTGCCTTTGATGGACAACATAGTTTGTTGCCGAAATTTTGAGAGATCCTCTCCATTTTGTTGTCATTCTTTCTGTTTCCTCCTTAAAAGCTCTGAGGATGATCTGACTTAATTGGGTATCGTGGCAAGCTCCCTTCCAGCTGTAGATCTGGAAACTTCAAATCTTTAATGCACAAACATGTAGAACATTGACTCATGCATTCATTCAACAAATATTTATTTAGCTTCTACTACAAGTAAGAGATCCTTAAACTCAGGAAGTAGAGGCGGTACAGAGCCTGCACCGTTAAGAAGCTCAGGGAGCCGGAAGAAGTAGTGAGCTTGTACTCAAGAGAATTCACATCCATCAGATACTTCAATCCCATAATTCACAATCGATCCCATCGCTGGGCGCCAATAGTACTTCAAGGGAGTTAGAGATTAGGAACAGAGTGGGTTCTCTTCTGGGGATGCATCATCTGTGCCATCTTGGGATGAGGCTATGGAACAGGCACCCGGTGTAGCTTCAGTTGCACCCGGAGGAGGAACTGATCACCAGGCATTGACAACTCCTTGGTGCAAATTTGTAGTTAGAGCAAAGTGAAGAGTTTTGCCCAATAGTGCTCCATAGAAAGAGAATCCCTGGATACTGCCCTGAAGGCAAGATAAAGAGTCTAAGGAGATCCCAGGACACTAGGAGATCATTTCTGGGGAATCTGTTGATGGAAGAGAGCTTGTGGCCTCCCTCCTCAAATCTAGGTAAACAAGTGACACAGACAGATAAGAGCACTTTGTTTTTTTGTTTTTTTTTAGTGAGACAATTGGGGTTAAGTGACTTGCCCAAGGTCACACAGCTAGTACATGTCAAGTGTTTGGTCTGAGGCCAGATTTGAACTCAGGTCTTCCTGACTTCAGGGCCAGTGCTCTATCCATTGTGCCACCTAGCTGCTCCAGATAAGAGCACTTTGGACCAAACCTTGGCAGCCCTTGCCTTTTATTTTCTATTTTTAGGCAATTGAGGTTAGGTGACTTGCCCAGGGTCACAGAACTAATAAGTGTCAAGTGTTTGGTCTGAGGCTGGATTTGAACTCAAGTCCTCCTGACTTCAGGGCTGGTGCTCTATCCACTGTGCCACCTAGCTGCCTCTAGCCCTTGCCTTTAAAAGACCCAACTCATTTTAATTTTTGTATGACCTATCTAGGAAAGGAAACATTACTATATTACTCCTAAATAAATAAACTTCAGTTACACTGATTCCTTGCAGTTACTTGTACAAGACACTGTCTCCTGATGGGCAATTTTCACTGACTGTTCCCCATACCTGGAATTATCTGAGTCTTCATCTCTGCCTCCTGGCGCTCTTCAAATCCTGACCAAAATCCCACCTTCTACAAGAAGCCTTTCCTGATCCCCTTTAATTCTACAGTCATCCCTCTGTTATTTTTAATTTATTATGCATATAGCTTATTTGTGCATAGTTCTTTGCATGTTGTCTTCCCCATTAGATTGTAAGCTCCAAGAGAGCAGGGATTGTCTTTTGCCTTTCTTTGTATCCCCAGAGCTTGCAGTGCCAATATATAGTAGGCACTTAATATTGACTATTTTTGAAAGTAAGTTTCTCACCATCACTTACATCCTTTTTCATATTCTTTCTCTTTAAAATGAAACTGTGTACCATAATCATGCACATTGTGAATCTAAATGTTAGTGCAAAAGTTGCATATATCTAACAGGGATGATGGTATAGAGGTGTTTGAGTAAAGAGGAATACTGCTACTCTTTCCCTCCTTCTCTCCATCTCTCTCCCTCTCCCCCTTTCTCTCTCTTGCTCCCCTCAACTCTCTCCTTTCCTTATTCCCTTCTTCTGTTTCTGTCTCCCCTTCCTCTCCTTCCTTCTCTCCATCCCTCCCTCTCTCTTTCTCCCTTTTACCACTCCC